AAATATTATATATATAGCCAAAAATTACGGTTTCTTCGATCAAAGTCATTTACTCAGGTTTGAAAATAAAATATAAGCATCACACTGCGACTTGGTATTAGATCCGAAGATGTGCTGAAAATCAGAAAATAAAGAACAATGGTTCCATGCTCGCAATCTACATTCCGTTTCACTACTGATTAACTCAGTTATTACTCATCTCATGAAACACATCATGACATGTCAGTAGAATATTGTGAAACCAATCTCATATTAGATCATTTACGAGAATACGATGAATGGATATGTAACAGAATATTTTGCATACACGTTCCAGTAACCCATAACACCGAAGATCGTTTATTTCAAAATGTGTCCACGAGTAAGCAACCACATACACACACCTAATTCGACTATCTACTCATCGTTAGTCGTACAGAAATGAGAATAAATCAAATATTTGAGAATGTTGTAAGTTGTGAAAGTTGATAGAGTTGACTTTGCATGACAGACACACATAATTGAACAAATGAAGATTGATCGTTCAGTGAATTAATCATCATAAATTCGAATATTCGTGTTCTCACAATCAAAACGTCATACTGACGATGCTTTGATCATAATTGCTTAATGCATTTTGTAATGAGATTAGTTTCGAACAGAGTGGTTTGATTGACCAAATCATTAAGTTCTCGTTAGTGTTTGTTGTTTGATTTTATTTGATAGAGTGTTTTGTTAAATGAGTGATTAAGAGCAATCATTCTACTGAGATTTTATTAATGATTAGATTAATTTATCTAATCAACATAATTGTATACTTTGGTCTTATTACATACTTTAAATCATTCATTGTAGTTCTGCCTTGAAAATATGTTTTTTTACTAATAATACTATTCATTTCATAAAATTATGGATCTCACAATGGTAAAGTTGTCGAAAATTCTTACAATATTCATAATTCAGAAGGGGTTTTATGGAGATTTCAGTATTTTCATAGTTGAAATCATGAGTCGATTGAAGCTAGACCACCATGGAAAACCTGGGAGCACTGGACGGCCGTTTCGTCGCATTGTGGGACTCCCCAGCAGTGCGCATCCATGATCCCGCACTTGCAAGATCCGAACCCAGGACCTACCAGTCTCGCGCCAAAGCACTTAACCGATAGACTACTGAGCCAGCATCCGATGGTGTTAATGTCTAACTTTAACCAATCCACCAAATTGAGCAACCATTCACCAATTGTCTTCAGTGAGTTCCTATCTCACAACAGAGGTGGTTGAACTCCATTGGTCACTGCTTCCCACTAGAGTGTATGTGCACTGCTGAGGAGTCCCGCAGTGGGATGAAACGGCCGTCCAGTGCTTCCAGGTTTTCCTTAGTGATCTAGCTTCAATTGACTTATGATTTCAACTATGAAAGTGTTCATAATTGTCTTTCGTCATTCTCATATCAAATATTTAAATACCTGACTTTTTATTATAAAACAAATAATACAACCGAATTACTGTATCCAAATCTAATGAGTCTCAATCGTGTTAGATTTTATTTTCATTCAGGAAAAATTTTTTTTATTTCGTTGGTCAAAAATTAGTTTTCCCGAAGAAAAAAATTGATCGAAAATTCAATATTGTTTTAATCGAACACTATATATATTACATTATACTTCATAGTCATTGTATATAAAAATATATTTACATGTGAACAGTAAAGATCGTGACATCATCACCATCACTACGATATATAAATAATTATGTTAAACAAGTGACCTAATTTATTTTATATGGAAACAAATTGATTGATTAGTGTAAATAAAATTATTTTAGATCATATAAAAAAATATAACTCTAGTAATGTACAAATTATTTTAACAGAAAAGAAAACAGTTTCTTTCTTTTTATCATATTCAAGTGTTTATTCAATTTGTTTAACAATAAATATGACCTTACTAATCAATGTTCGTGTGTATTTTTTGTTTTATTGTAACAAAATTTTAAATGGATCAAAGTATTCAAGTTGTATATGAATAGATAAGAATTGGATATTGAATATATATTGATTGACGTTTTAGATACATTTTAATACATTTTATTATATCAAACAAACAAAAAACTTCTTATATATGCCATTATCATTTAATTTATCGATAATAAAATTTTACGGAAAATACAAACAAGTGGCTATCAGAACTCAGTAGCTGAGTGGATAACGCGATGGCGTTTGAAGCGAAAGGTACTGGGTTCGATTCTCAGAGTATATCCAGGTGACGAGTCCCCAATAGGACGAAACGCACATCTTGAATTCCACTGCTAGCCACTGTCCATCTTTGCTTATAATACAAACAAATTAGTTTAATAAGGTGACTGTATGGAAAAACTGAATAATCCAAAATCTTTTGTGTTAGAAATTCAGATATCTTCAAGAAACCACTAAAGTTTTGGACAATTAATTGTTTCGATTTAAGACTTTCTCACATGTCAAGTTTACAAGGAATAATTGACATAAAATCCTGTAAACTACTAAATTGAAAGTTAATGGTGTATCAATTTATTCTCAAAGAATTTACAATATACGTCATCTAATTCCGTCGATGAATAATTCCCATAGATCAAAGCTTTCCTTGTAGACTTCTGTCTAGAAATTGGTCTGTGTTAATCACATGGTTGTGAATGAAGCTTTATCTTCATGTTGACCAAAACTAACAAACTGATTGATCCAATAAGCAACTTGTCATATTTGCATATACCGAATTGCTAATTATATAATTGTAAGCTAAATATTAATTTATATAAAAATTCACGGTTTAAAAGAAAATTTAACTAACTTTTTCCTATCAAATGCTAAACACTGTCTTTAAACAGATTTTTCTTGAAAATATAATTTATCTTTAACTAAGAATTAATTCCTTTTCCATTAAATTATTAATTTAATAATTATTTATTCTGATAATTGAGATCATGAATCAATCGAAGCTAGACCACCATAGAAAACCTGAATGTACTGGACTGCCGTTTCGTCCTATTATGGGACTTCTAAGCATGATTTGTGATCTCAACTAATTATTTATTCATAAAATGATGACTGAACGGCTGATTTTAAACTTTACCCAACAAACATCATTCCTACTATCGAGCGATAACAGTGATAACAAGTAGAAAAACATTGATTTCTCTGAGTTAATTTGTAGTAATTAGATTTCCGATTAGTTATGATATCTACTTGAATTTATTGATTTCTGCACGAACTATAACACGAATTAAAAAAGTGTCAAATTGACTAAAGATGTCATACTGAATGTAATAATTCTCATTAAAATGTGCAATTAGTAAAGAACAGAGAGAATATGACTAACAACGAAATTCAAGACATGAGTTTAGTTAAATATACATTCGTTCCAGTAATTATATTCACTCTAGGTTTCTAACGCAATGCCGATCTCTTCAAACGGTACTGAATTACCTAACCAGCTAATGTGTTGTTCACTTATGTAAGAGATGAGTTTTAACTCAAATCGAGATTGGTTATGTTATCTTGTTGTCTGTATCGAAGCCATCTGCACAGGGTGCACGTAAAACCAACCAAGACTAATCAAATTTCGGTCAAAATTATCAACAACGTGGAAATCTAATCTATTTCAAATTAAATTAACAATCAAACCGTCATAACTCATCAGAATAATGTTTGAAAACTTACTTGAAATATCAAGCTGATAAAATCACCTAATTAAATGATACCAATATTAGCTAATTGTTTAGATGAGAAAAAATAATACTTAATAAAAAATAGTAGTATAACAGAACTGTGAATTTATTAACTCCGTCACTAATAATAAAACTTATATTCTATTTTGATAAGAGGTTAGTAGAGATCACTTAATTGCTACAAATAGCTTACATCACAGCTGAGTTCAGTGACTGATATGATCTTAGATGTATCATTTCTGAAAAGTCGCTTACTAATATGAAACATTTCTTTATTCTCCTCTGACATTTAATTGAAATCAATTCATGATGTTAAGCAACTTTTAAAAAAACACTTTTCTAACATAGTTTCAGTCGTATAGAGTTTATTTAACAGAATTTAATTAAAAGTATATAAAATATGCTGCTTTACTGCCAAAACACTCACAATCAACCTTATAGTATATACCAATAAAATTGAACAATTATGAATTCAAAACATCAGTTACTAAAGACAGAATCTTTAAAGCCAAACGACTTAAATATCTGTTGTCTTATGTATAATAAGTTAAAAAGATTCTTGTCTATCTAGTGAATTGATATCCTAAAAATGGATTTAGATACTGACTGATACAAACAAATTTAAGTTACACAAACAGTAATATTTAACTTGAAGAGCTCTTGTTTTTAGTGCTAATACGTTAGAAAGTTCTATTACCAAAACTGAACATTGAAATATCACAAATAAACTTATTATCATTTTTGTGTAAAACTGGTATTCAATACTCTTCATAAAGCATCCATAGTAATTACAACCATGTGCTCATGAGTGAATAACTGTAAGACATAAATTTTTTTTAAATTTTGACTATTGGAGATCAACCGTGTCAATTCAAAACCAGTTACTTATTAATACCAAGAGATGGTAGTTTGGTGACATTGTGAATTGTTTTAAGTTAGATATGTTAGTCGGAAGTTGTCAACTCAATGGTCTAAACATTAAGCGTTCTTCGTTAGACTTACAGGTGAAGTTCTAAACATCTAGTACAGTCGTGTATGTGCGTTGTTAAGGCATTTTATAGTACAATAAAATAGTTGTCAAGTATTACTTTGCTTTCAATGGTTTGCTAGCAAAAATCAGTCCGTGATGTAAAGAAGTGAAAATTGATTTATATCTACCATGGGGAAATAGTTGCTGTTTAGAAAATAATAAATTAACTTCAACATTCTTAACAATCTATGACGATATACCGACAATAAAAATTTAACTTTGATAAAAGAAAAAAAAACATATTCATTACTAATGCTAACTTCCGCATTATTAGTAACCAGTGAAAAGGATATCCCCATTCAATTATGCTACGTGCTGCTTTACGTATTAAATTATTTTTTGAAAAAACAAAAAGTGCACGATTTGTTGAACTTTGTGATTCTGGTAATTCAATATTCAATGTATCTTTAGCTAATTGATTAATTGTTTCATATTTAGGATCACGATTTAATCTTTGATCAATATTTGATTGTTTATTTTGTACATTTATAGGATGATTATTAATATCTTGATTAGTTATCGAATCACTGGTTGATATCATTATCAAATAGTTTTAAAAATACATATATATCACCAGTAGAATTTTCTAATAAATAGTTTATTTAATGTAGTTCATTTGTTGATGATGAAATTAATAGAACTATCAGTTAATTTTACGTTCCTGGAAGAAAATAACATTTTCTTTTCAGGTTTCAATGTGAAATATTGTAGTATCATCTTGAAGATATACAAAAACTGATAAACATGGATGCTTGTATTAAGAAAATACACTCTTTAAACGATAAAAATGTATATTCCAAGAGTTAAAATATCCTATTATTGGATAACAGATAAAATTGTGCACTCTTCCAAGAATTAGTATTCCATATGTATTTTTAGTTCCATCTGTTAGACTGAATATCTTGTTCCTTTTTCAAAAAAAAAAAGTTGTTGATCCTAAATTGAGCACTGTCCTAATGAGATCAAGGCTTTCCAACAGATACTATATATCTATGACTATATATATATATATATATATATATATATATATATATATGTTTGAATATATGATAGGTTGTTAAGTAGGATGGTAGGTAGATAGATAACTAGACAGGTACAAAAAATTCTATACAGAAGCATTAAAAATTTGTAATATGCTCACATGTGTGAGTTATGCTTTAAGTCTGTCCCACTGAAAGTGTATCTATCCCACTATTTTATATATCATCTTAGTTGACTAATAACCAAGTATCTTTATTTTTGTAGATATATATATATATAAATTTGGTAAAAATATCAACAGTTGATAAGGGAGGATTGAATAAGTAAGTAAATAGCTATATGCCTTATTGATAAATGGTAGTAAAAATTGAATTCATTTAACAAAATTATCCAATATAATTGAAAATAATTTTGACACAATATACAAACTAATGAAATAATTAATTACATTTTTTAAAAATTTAAGTTTATAATTTATAGTTGATAGCCTGAATCAATTGAAACTAGACCACCATGGAAAACCTGGAAGCACTGGACGGCCGTTGAAGTTAGCTATTAACGCCGTTGGATGCCTACTTAGTGGTCTATCGGTTAAGGGCTTTGTCTAGAGACTGGTAGGTCCTGCGTTCGAATCTCGCGAGGCGAGATCGTGGATGCGAGCTGCTGAGGAGTCCCATAATAGGACGAAACAGCCATCCAGTGTTTCCAGGTTTTCCATGGTGGTCTAGCTTTAATTGACTCACGCTTTCAACTATGAAAATACTAAATCTCCACTAAAACCCCTTCTGATAATTAATATTATAATTTATAAACAATTTTAGTAACAACGATGAATAATTCAAACTAAACTTAACTCCCTAAGGTATTTTGTTTCATGGATCTATGATACTCATAAAGGTAAAAAGAAAAGTATAATTAGTTTGTGGTTAAGCAGTTATCCGTAGATTCCTTAATTGAATAATTAGTAATTAAAAAGTTCATGCTTCATAAATTTAAAAAAAAGAGATTGATTGATCGTTTGATTTCACAATATAATCTTATTTTGTCATAGAAATAATAAATTTGAGATGAGTCAAAAGAAGTAAATGTGTTTTCCCGATATTTTATAATCCTTCGACAAATAGTCCTGGAGTGGACATCAACTCTGGAATACTTGTACATCCAGCTGACAAGTTCCAAATAAGATGAGACGCACATTCTGGATTCCACCGCTAGCCACCACCCATCTTTACTTATAACGCTTGTGACCTAAAGTAATATTGAGGCGATCCGCGCAGGATGCAGAATTACTAAGCATGGTCATTCCCCTTAATATTTCTGTAATATTTATCAGCTTTAATTGCGCGACGATCGAGACTAAGTTTGAATGTGTCGGACAACACTCTGATAAGGCATTGTACTAGCAGTAACACTAAACACAAGACCTTGATTTTAATTCCGTTTGAGATTGTGAGTGCGTGCTAAAGAGAAGTCTTGAACTAAAGTGAAACACTTATCGATGGATTCCTAGTTTTAATAGCTTAAGAAGCTGATTTGAACCTGTAATGTAAACGGATTTCCGATTGCAAAAACCGTTCGTAAACACTTATTATTATACATAATCACACCGACCATCATTTTTTAATCTAACTTCCAGAGATCGAAACTTATTTGTCAATTTCTTTAAATTTTAAAACTTTTTTAAAGTGTTATTTCCTATGGTAGAAAATAATTATTTTCGCTTACGACTCAAAAATACTCAAAATTCTACAATGAGCGAGCTCAGATAAGAACAATCAATTTATCGTTTAATGAAAAATGACGGAATATATTGCTAGAATATGAGAACCATACATTAAATACTTCATTTGTAAATCTTCCATGAATTAACCTTTACATTCTGTATGATTCTTTCAATTCACAATTTCTTTCTATTTTCCGTTCTGTCTTTTTCAAGTCGACCTTCATAGCCCTCTGCTGCCGCGCATTCTTCTTATGATTAGTGTCACACATTACTTATGTTTGTCAACATAAGTAGTAAACACCACAATTCAGTTAAACTCTCAAAAATAGTAATTTAGTAGTTAAACTTAATAAAGCAAATGATAATTCAGTTCATATAAATTTTCGTCAACATTTCATAAAGCCCAATTTTGGAGTATGAGACTGTATTATAACATGATACAGCAGTGATATATCGCAATTAATGAGTAAATATATTTTCATTTTTAAAAAGAGCTATAGCTATGGTTACATATGGGGTAATTATATTTCGTAAGTAATCGATTGAGATACAGACGTTTCATGTTGAATTTCATTTCACTGACTGAGTGTTGTAAAGATCATGTTATAAATGGTTTGTTTAATAATTAACAACACATTTCATCTACTATGATAAATTTCTATTAGCATCTTCAGTGTCATACTTTATTTAGTTTCATAGTAGAATATTTACTATAAACAATACGAAATCGAATATAAGTCACTGAATTCAAATCGCTGTTTGGTCAATGAATATAATATCAAATATAGTTTTCAATAGTATACATATGAAGAATACTGATAGCATTTCTCATCGTTATTCGTCTCTTACACACATTTACTAAGAAGATGTTACTTTAATCACTAAAATTGTTCTTTGCATATATAATATAGTATCGTTTCTGCTAAGAATTGAAATCTTAATGCAACTAATTTTTTATAACATTCGACTTATAGACAAAATATTTTGTCAAACTTTTCATTTTTTTTAGTTAACTTTCCCAAGATATTATCTTGAACGTATAAAAATAATTGTGATGAAAAAAAATTGATATTTTACTGAATAACTAGAATGAACAAAGAAAACAGAGAGACTATAATTTATGGACGAACCGATCAGATATGAGATCAAAGGTCTTGGATTTTGGAGTGAAATTAATTCATACATTTGGTTGAATAGCTTTTGACATTATAGTTTATATTAGTTCCTGTTTGAATATCTGGGTTAACTGTTCCTGCCGACTAGATACTTCTACAAGTTTTCTGTTTCCTTGTTTGTTTCAACAGATCATTATATCAATTAATTGTATAACATATTTAGGTGTGATTATAAAATGTTTACGACCATTCTCTTTAAAAGTTATAAAAATGTACAATCAGAGACATCGTGGTTGCTGGAAATATGCATTGAAAAGAATGAATATTATTCAGATGTCGATTCCTGAACTGCTAACTTTTAGCTGGCGACCACTCAATATTTGTTATCAGAATTGACTAAGAAGTAAGAAACGGAAACGTATTGAAAAAGTTTGTGCTGAGAATTCTATATTGTACCAAAAATATAATACCGAATAAAGCTAATAATAATGAATCTGATTGCTAACCCTAACTATCAACTGTAAATCATAATTCTAATTCCTCGGACTGGTTTATAATCATTCATTTAATTCTAGTTAGTAGATGGACATCTTCAAGTCACTTTAGCGTAGCTCAAAGGTCGTCCATAAACAATAATCTCACCAAGAAAGCTGATGAAATTCAAATTAGTTACACAAAAAATAATAACCATATTACTGCATTGTACTTCAAACAATAATAGTTAATACGGAAGTAAATTTTTTTAACAATATAGTCTCACCTAAGACCCAATTGTTTTTGGAAATTAAATATTGTGCACACTTTAGAATTTTCAATTTACGGTAAGATATCTATCTTATATAGTCAAAATCATGGGTTCGAATCCCGCAAGGCGGAATCGTGGATGCGCACTGCTGAGGAGTCTGATAATATGACGAAACGGCCGCCTAGTGCTTCCAGGTTTTCCGCAGTGGTCTAGCTTTAATTGACTCATGATCTTAACTATATAAAATTACTAAAATCTCCATAAAACCCTCTTGTAATATCTATCTTATATATTTGAAAACAGTTATTTTTTTATTTGATAATAATTTATCATAGGAATCATTTTAGAAATGAACATTTGTTCTAAATTTATTTTAAAAATAAAAAGTAGAAAAAGGCAGAATTTCGAACAAAACAATTACTATCTAACAATTAAAATGATTCTTTGGAACTTCTTATTAAATTTTTATATAGCACCAGTTATTTTAGTTATTGCAAAAGATCCTATAACAACAGAATGTTTCTTTGTTAAGTTTAAACATATTTGAATAAATTAGGTTCATCGGATGATTTTGTTTTTCCTCTATTTGATTGAAATTCGGGAACAAACAATCAGAGCTAGGATATAGCGAACCTTTGTTGTGAGAATTAATAAAGTGGAAAATGAAATCAAAACTAATATATATAAGTATTCTAACTTATCAAAAATTAGTCACCAGTGTTATCGTTTCGAATCATTTTTGTTAATTGAATTCTGTTGTTCAGATTATTATGTGGCTTTTAAGCTAAGTGAATCGACACTGAAGTTAACAGTAATAGAGAGGAACTATTGAACTCAAACTCCTTCCAACACTAACCACTGGTAGGTTATAGACAAAACATGTTGATTGAATAACATGCTCCTGGATGTTCATATCCTTATGAATTCATAACACAAAACAACTTTTGTCTGCATTCTTAATAAAGTACCTTATACATGTACACCTACTTATCGTTGTTAACTGTTCATAAAAGTTAGATTTGTTCCAATTACAAACAGTCAACGGTAAAGTTAATATAAATAGAACCTAAAACTATGAAAAATGTATTGAATTTTTTAAAAAAATGACATGTAAGTTTTGAGATACTTTTATTGTAAAGGATTTCTGTAGGACAATAAACTTTGGGTATAGGATAGTAAAATGGTATGTTATTTTATATGCTATACAGACTGTGAAGTTCAATGATTTACGTCGCTGATTGTTCACGAATCAGTTGAAGTTATAGATGTAAATCATCGAGAGCAAGCTCAGTGGTCTAAAGATTAAGCACTCACCACAAAACCAGTGGGTTTGCTGCTCGGTGAGTGCAGTCCCATGGTAGGGCGAGATATTTTTCTAGCGCTTCCAACATTTCAAATGTCGTCTAACTAAGAATAGTCCACGGTCGTAGCTATCAAATGGTATGTGATCTCGCTTATTGTTTGCAATAAACATATGACATATAGCTGAAGATCTCTTCTAATCTGTTAAACTTTTTTTCGCAAATAGGTATATCACCTAGTTATATACCTGTTTGGTACTACTTCACCCAACTTATGCTATCGAGCTCCTAAGAAACTTGTTGTAGACATCTTAAGGAATGAATTCCACGATATAGTGTAAGCAGAGAATAGAAGTGATAACGAAAGATTGTAAAACTACTTTATATGCAGTCTTAACAATACAATACCGTAATTCCTAAGAGATATACGAAAGAAGAGGTTGGATGTAAAACAATAAATTGACAATAAATTTACTTTTAAAAAATTCTGCAATAATATTAACTCTGATTTCAATCTCTTAGTAACAACAATAATATCATTTTGCATTTCAACCCACAAAAAATTATCTTTATTTACATATTTGTTCTTGAAGTATCTAGTTATTTGGATGAAACTGTCGAGGAAATAGATAAATCACCTCAATAAATTCCTTTATTCTTTTGGCCAAGTTTTAATTTTAACAAGTATTTTTCACTTATTTTTTAGTTTTTCACTGGTGTTAATGTCTAACTTCAACCGATCTACGAAGTTGAGCAACCATTCACCAATGTCATCAGTGAGTTGATATCACCAGTGGAATTCAACCAGGTCTATTGGGAGATACCAACTCACTGAAGACATTGCTTTTTATCTTAAACATGAATTCTATAAATAAAATGTTAAATCCTAGAAGACAATCAATTCTACAAAAATAGTCATAAATTTTTTTCATTAGAAACCATTAATTATCCTCAATTTCATTGTAGAATGATGCAAAAAGAACAATACCAAAAAACCACTCAAAGTGAAAACCTACTTTTTTTCATAAACACATTTTTTTCTTTTCATCATTCTAGTTCTATTTTATTCAAGACTGGAATATTTTTTAAGTTAAGATCAAGTTACAGAAAAAAAAGATACAGAAACTTCATGGAACAACAAGATCAAAATAATCTTACATAATAATAGAAAAATCTCTTCAGTAAATCATACAAGTAATGCTCAATCATTAGTCAATAAATTTACCATTAAAATTATTGTAAAAAATACTATCAAAACGATTAGTACTATTAAAATATAATAAAGTTAGTCGAAAGTACTATATTCGTGTTAAAGGAAGATAAATGCAATAGATTACGAACACAATATTCTCATCTAAGCATTAGAAATCCAGTAACTAGAGTTTGATGCAAAATACTGTCTGTTTATTGTTGAACTTATTTCACATATAGTTCTAAATTTGTTCGAACCACATCTTTTACGTTTATTTACATTCCTCATATTTAGGTAGTGTCTCTATATAAACTCAAAAGAACTTGTTTTTCATCAAACAGTTATAGTCAAAAAGCCCACTGATGCGTTTAAAACAGTGTAGATGAATTGCTTAAAGACTTTAACAAAATTAACGAATTACTTGACAAAATGATACTCGAACACATGGCTAGATTAATAGTTGTACAGAATTAGGTTATAGTAATCTAGTAATCCATTAGGTTGATCCTTAGCTAGCTTATGACTGATTTGTGATCAGCCAGTCATTATCAGCATTGAACCTGGTACGAATGTGCTTTGGCCCAAGTTACCGAGCTATATATGGCTGAGATATGACCAACAAGATGAATATTAAGGAGTCGGAATAAGTTAGTAGTAATGATAGTGAAAAAACTATACATTGAAAATGTGGTGCAAAATGACAGAATGATGAAATGTATGGGAAGAAGACCGGAAATGAATACCTACAGAAACAGAAACTAAATGCATCTGTTTTATTGTAATCGATCCTAGGCCCTATCACAATTGATCGCGATTATTGCACGGAACCCACCACATAGTCTGCATTTAGCAACATGGTTAGACCAACAATCAATGACTTTGTGACGCTAAATTACGGTTTGATCACCACTAAGTTTTTTCCAACCAACTCCTACAACAGTCAAAATTGTTTGTCGACGCTTACTCGACCTATCCACCAGACGTCAGTTATCCTTAAAAAATATCTATGGCCAGAAATTTATAGCCTAGGAGGATATTGTACTTTAAAAGACTAAGTTTCACAGCCATAGAGTAAAATAAATCTTGTCTACGCCAGAACCAACGCAAGATGATAAAGGCCAATTGTGTTTTCTGAATATATGCCGAGATTTCGTCAGAAATCAACCCACCAAGGCTGATGGAACTTGCATGGTTGAGGTTGGTTTATTGTTTTCAAAATACCCCATTTACAAGAAAAAACCAAAACAATTAATACTGTTTTTTTAAAATGCTTAATCTTGATTTGATTAATGAATGATAAAAAATAAGAATTGTAAAGTACAATAAACGAATACTTTAGCAAACACACAGATATACCGGCTATGAGAATACCGGCGTTAAATCGTAAACAAAATGTAACAGAGTTAATAATAGGCACATAATTATTATTAACAGTAGTATGAACAACTGAAATTCATCAAAACAATAAGTTATTTGAATGATATTTTCTTTTAAACAAAAGTATATTATTTATAAGATTATAACAATACTGTATACAAACATGAAATGATGCAAGAATGAAGCTTTGAACCAACATACACACAACTTCATTTAATGACAATGAATGACTGATTCAAATGAGAAAATAAGATTGACCAATTTACAGACTTTACATAAATTGCTTGTATTCACCAAAAATCAAATGGAGTTAATTCTTCGTTTTTTTTGTTTTTCATATACACTAATGTTATCTATTATATATTGAAAGTAAATTAAAGTAAACAACATTTACACGACTACCTGTATTCATGAAAAAGAAATCTATTATGCGAACCAAGAATATGTAGATGAATAGAATATTACATAATTGAAAAAAATTCTATTCAGGAAGAGACTGAAACAATAAAATTGTAACTGCGGTAGAAAGAAAATGATTTTTCTTTTGGGAGAAAAAACAAACAAACTATAGTAAATAAAGTACAAGTTTGTTAAACTGGACGAACTTTGTTTACATTTGATGGTCGAGGAATTCCACTTTTCGTTTTATCTACATACAGAGGAAAGTGATAGAGAGAAGATTAAAATAAATAACGTCTATTTAAAACAATTATGTGAACGAAGAATATTCTTTTCAATAATTTCTTATCAGGTTCTACAATTATAAATAATAATAATAATAATAATAATAATAAATTAATAATCTTACTTAATAGAAATGACTACATTGACAAGATGAATAACATCTTGAATGATCACCGAAAATTTCAGAAATTGGATAACCAAAAAGATGTCAGTAATAAGATAGAAAATGAACTGACCAGGTCTTTAAAAAAGCTCAGAGATCAACAGATAATTCCACCAGACATATATGAATCAATCAGGCCGACAGGTACTCATTTACCTAGGTTATACGGACTACCGAAGGTACATAAACCTGATATCCCATTGAGACCAATTTTAGACATGTACGATTCTCCTTACCATACGGTAGCAAAGTGGTTAGTAACCGTTTTAAAACCACTTCACAAACAACTAGTAAAGCACAGTATTAAGGATGTATTCCAATTCGTCGAGAAGATTAAAAACATAAACACCAAAGGTCTAAAGATGATGTCCTTTGACGTAACGTCATTGTTCACAAATGTACCACTCAGAGAGACTGTAGAATATATTTGTGAACAGCTTAGAGAACAGGAAATAGTAACTACAGTCCCTGTGGAGACCATCAAAGAATTGCTACTAAAATGTACTATGAAAGTACATTTCAAATTCAATGGTGAAATCTACAGACAAATAGATGGTATCGCGATTGGTTCACCCCTAGGTCCCATATTGGCTGATATTTTTCTCGCGAAACTAGAAAACGGCCCACTCACACGACAGATTGAAAAGTTTTCACTTTATTGCCGATATATGGACGACACATTCATCCTATGTAACGACTATACCGACTTAATGGAGACACTACAGCCCATCCGTCTATTAAATTCACATGTGAGGAGGAAAATGGAGGTAGGATCGCTTTTCTAGATGTCCAACTTACAAGGAGAAAAGACGGTTCATTAAGGAGAAATATAAACAGGAAAACATCGTGGACGGGTCAGTATACTAACTTTCTTAGTTTTGTTCCTCTACAGTACAAAAGGAACCTAATTAAGACATTACACTATAGAATTAAGACCATATCCTCTGAAGATACGGTCGAAGAAGAAACAAAAGCATTATATATGACCCTGAGAGAAAATGGATACCCGGAGAAATTTATAAATAAAAACATAACTAATAAAAGAGACCATAAAGAATGTTTAATTGTGAATAAAAAACCTCTGTACATACGTCTACAATTCAGAGGTGACGCACCTGGTGAAATGGTAAGATTGAAACTACGAAGATCAATCGAAAGGACTTTTAATGCAGGTAAACTACAGCTAATGTTTTCCACACGCCCAATGATCACGCCGACATTGAAAGATAAATTGCCTAAACTAGCCACTTCTTTCTGTATCTATCAATTCAACTGCTCCTGTGGAGCAAGTTATATAGGCAGATGTTCTAGGAATTTGTATACTCGGGCTCGTGAACACCTTCCAGTGTGATTAAGCAAAGGTGTAGTCAGAACGGTTAACAGCTCTGTTTTAGCCCATTTAGTTCAGACGGGACATAGAGCCGACATTGAGCAATCTTTCACAGTAATATATCGTGTAAATAGCAGTCTACCTAATTCTGTCAGACAGAGAATCCTGCAGACGGCTGAGGCAATTGCTATTCGGATCAAAAAGCCAGAGCTCTGCATCCAAAAGAAATATGTACAGCCACTCCTTTTACCCTGGCCAACTGCAGGGTCAACTTGTTAATAATCAATTTTGTAATATGGTGACAATAATTTGATTAATGTTCATTTCCATATCTTAAACTTAGTTTATCTACACATCTTATCAGTTATTATTATTATCACACCTGCTAACCTTTTAGAGAAATTTATTTATCATCCACCCCCTATCTACTATATCTGACTTAATTTATATAATTCTACATATTACGTAATTTCCGATTTGTAATCCTATTTTTGTAGCTCTCACCCCCATGTCAACTATATATATTCTGATCATTTATCTTACGATTTTATTTCACCTATAAACTGATTCAAGTTAACACTTCATATTAGTCATCCCAAAAACATTAATGATTCGATCTTATTTTATATGACAAACAATCCTTGATTCACATATTACAGTTTCTTAAATTGATGTACTCTGTCTTAAACTTGGCCAATCTTCTTTATGGATTATTAATTTATAATTGTAGGGATTGCTGAAAAATTATTGAAAAGAATATTCTTCGTTCATATAATTGTTTTAATATGATGGGAATTTTTCAGCGATTAACGTCTATTTAATTGAAAATATGTTGTTTAACGATAAACAATCAAATACTAGTCTACAACAAAACTATTACTTGTAAAATAACTGTGATACTACAAATATATTCACAAATATTAACCTCTAAAAAGAAGTGAATGAGTTTCTGTAGAAGAAGAGAACTAAATTGGGTTCGAATTCCGCATGCGGGATCCTAGATGCACACTGCTGAGGAGTCCCATACTAGGAAGAAACGGCCGTCCAGTGCTTCCAGGTTTCTGATGGTGGTCGGTCTAACATCGATAGATTCATGATCTCAATCAAAAAGAGTATATTTGTTAATAAATATTACTATGAATCAAATATCTTTCAAACTGCACATCCTACTTTTTGAAACAAAGATATAACTAGTCGCTGTGTAACTAAAGTCCTTTATACCTACTATTTCAGTTATTTGGTCTGGAGTTTTAACGTACAACCTGAGTGATTCATTTCAAAATAATAATCTTCTAAGTATTAGTAAACATAAAGATTTAAAATCATTTGACTTGTTTACGAAATATAAATATTTATGTAGTTTGCTTAGAACTACATGTTTTATGTGGGGATAAGTGATAATATCAAGCTGTCCAAACCAAAGTTAACAAAAATTTTCATTTAAATTCGTGGTCACTGGTGTTTTCTCGCTTCAGATCTACATACAAATACATAAACTTGTGATGTGAAAACAGATTGTCTATATTTCACACCAAATGACTAACATCCATTTTTGTAAATATAACTTCCTTTTTAATGTCGAAGTTTAGTAAGTAGAGTATTTAGGCTTACGGTCCATCAGTGAAAACGAACGGTATCGTACTGGACCCAACTCAAGTCTTTGCCAAGTTATATTTAGACAACAAAGCCGTAAACTTGATGATTAACATTTCCAAATCCAGTCATCTGTCATACACTTCGTCCAATTATCTAATGATATTTATTGATAATTATCAACACTAATCACTTCTCATAAAAAACTAAAGGAATCCATCTCAAACTCTCAGTAATTCAGCTTGTAATCAAAATTATACCTCGAATCGCTAACTAAAAAAAAAGCAAAAAATGTTAAAATCTCAAAATCTGCTCACTAGTTTCTGAGTTACTGGTGTTTTTTGTGGAATGACCATTATATTTCTGTTGTTGATTTTGTAAACTTCTTGGATTCTCTGTACATTGAGGCATTTGAATAGTGCTATTGGATGAACCTAATAAATGAGCTTTCCAAACATCTTCTGGACCACCGGGAGCAACTGAATCTGGTAAATTTGGTAAATCATGATGACAAAGTGGACAACGCAGCCCAGATGATAATTTGATAGGTAAACAATGGTGACTGCTTAAATGTGTTTTTAACACAGCTTCTGAACATTTAGAACAACGAACATACTGTCCTGGTGTACAAGCTTCACATTCTTTAAGTAAATGATCTGTTAAACCAGCTATTTCAACTACCTATAAATATGTAACAAGTTAAATAGGCTGATATTACTGGTACACTTGATCAGCTAACTAGATAAATACATTTATTCAGTAGTTTAAATTTGAAATTCTCATATTCCCAAACCCAAAAACCTATTTTTGTTTGTGCACGTATGATATATTTAGACAACACTAAAATATTAATAGCATATGATGATCTAAATAATAAGTTTAGTGACAATATAAATAATTCGTATTGCTATACCAAACGGCCTATTTACATAACCTATTGTTCATTAGATAGCGGTTCATTGTTACCATAAGTCAACTGATACTTGTTATGTTATAGATGGAAAACCAGTATTTCGTCACTTCAAAAATATATCAGTAAATCAGTAACTTATATGGGATACAGTGAGTAGAAGTGCAGTTTTAGTGATTACTTTGCAGATTCTATTTTCTGACCCATTACCTGAGAAATGATACTATTATGGTTGAATGTCTTCTGTATATATTTATCAGTCTTAATTTCATAATAACTTCGCCTGCATCTATTCTAGGGTTACTGCCGGTCCGAAGCCCGGGTGAAGGAGGAGGGTTGAGCATGGGGTTAGCGACCCCATCCCGTAGAAAACTAACTCGCTAAAAAACGCTAACAAGAAAAAATAATTCAGACCATTTAAACTTTGCCCTGGGGTTTGAAGGAAGAACTATGACGCCTAACGATGAAAGCCGAGATTCTTCAGAAGTCACGAGGCCGATGCCATTTCTAACAACCAGAGCAACAATTTTTATAGGTACAAGGAACGTCCGGACAATGTAGGAGATCGGGAAGACCAGTCAAATAGTAGTGGAAATGGGGAGATACGACTTGAAGATGCCCAGAATTATTGGAAACACATTGGACGCAATCTCGATAAAAAAGGATAGATTCGGGAGAGATGCTGCTGTATTCTGGTCACAGAGAGAAAAAAAATGCTCGGCGCACCCAGGGATGCTGTCCAAAGAAGCACGTATAGCACTTATGGGATGGGAATCTCATGAATGCATAATCATCAAAGCATCCTTCAGAACAATAGAGGGGATCACAATGAATGTTATCCAGTGTTATGCACCCACCAATGATACCAATGACGACAATAAATATCAGTTTTACGAGAATCTGTAACGGATCATAGTGAAGTGTTCAGAAAAGGACCTGGACATTCTGATAGGAGACCTAAACGCCGACGTTGGAATCGATAAATCCGGGTATGAAGATATCATGGGAAGACATGGACTGGGAAAAAGGAACGAGAATGCCGAGAGATTCTCAGAAAAAAATAATTTCTTAATCTATGGACTGTCAGTTAAACGATCTTTTTGTCTTCTGACAAGAGAAGTTTCATCCTTTTGGGGGTTCATCACTCCGATCATCCTGTCTATTCTAATAGTTTCATCGGTTCAATAAGACATTATAACAATGTGAATCAAATTTGTGTGCGTAGAATGCCACTTTTGAATTTTTTTACTAATTGGTGATTGGTATTATTTGGTTCTCTGAGCTGGATGGTTTATTTGTGGAGCTTTCATGGTTCAGGACAGCATCATCAACAATTACTTCAAGTGGAAGTGAGTGCATTGATTATCCTCAATTATGAAGTTGTTCTGATCTGACGAACTTATTGCTTATTGGTTTATTAAAATAAGAAATTACAAAAAAACTGAGGCTGACTGATCACCGAGTAGTAGCTAGTACTATACTTTTCCGGTCTTTTAGTGACGATCAGATTCTATGGACCGATTTGCAATATGGCTACTAGTTAAGTGACTAGAAATATGTTGAAATATCAGGTTTGAAGTAATTGATAGGAAATCCGGAACCTAGGTCTTGTGCTTCTTGGCACTTGTAAGAAAGGTGTATCTGGAATTTTGAGGAAACACGCTCCCTGGTGTATGTGATCCCATATCTCTCAGTTCCATTGTCAGTAGCAGAAATAAGAAGATTCCAAACAGTCATCGGTTACAAATCAAACATTACCAAATAATAAAATTGCACTCATTTAGTGTAAGACTATATGGATGGCAAACAGACTTTTTAAAAGAAAAAGTTAAAAACCAGTGACAAGATAGATTTTGAACATATTTCTGTGTAATGAATAATAATGGCTTTAATTTCGTATACCGGATTTTACACCAAAGTTTTGAATGACTACCAAAAATATACCAACTGACTTGAAGTAGTGAGATAAAATGTAATTGAGCTCAATATATCATTTCATTAAATTTTGCTGAGACAGGATATAGTGTTCATGCATTCATATCAAAAGACAGAGCACGAATAGCGGCATTCACCACACTCCTTAGAGTCTGATTAATACGAAATTCTTAGTTTATCAGAAGTAAACTAATATCTTCTAAAGATCTCATAAAGTAATCAGACATAAATAGTTCAAGAGAGGAGCTACACCATCTAATTACTTAGTCTAAAGTTAAAATTACAATTATATCTAAGAAAAGCTATTTTGGTTAGTGAATTAATGTACCAATGCTCAGATTATTTGAGTAGAATACTTTTATAAACATGCAATACATAAAACAAAGACAAGCGTAACAACATGCCTGTTTACAATTAGGACAACGATGAAGCATTGGACAACTTTTCCAATAATGTATATCTAATCCTTCCTCTGTAAACGAATCATTTTGTTCTCCACAAAATATACATGTTTTATCTAAACTAAGTAAAAATTCTGCTTCTTCAGTATGTTGCTGTGAATTTATTTCCAATTGAATGTTAGCAGTTGAAGAATTTCTGTTTGGATTGTCACTTTTTGTAATTCGTGAACCATGTTGATTAGACGTATGATTCTGACGACTCGGTGATACAGATGACGGCCCAGTTTGTGAGTTATTTGCAGATTTACGATCATTATTTTTTAATCTTGAAGCAGATTTTCTATCGTAACTTTGTGAAGGTACAGTACGTGATACACGTGAATTAGGCTTCTGTGTAGCCAGATGACCACGATTGCCATGTTCGACTATGGCACGGAGTTGTTGAACGTCTGCCTAAAGCCAAACAATTCAATATAGTTAATTATAAAAAAACTCACAAGAAGTCTGGTGTGATAGAAATAACTGGTAGCAGAAGAACTTTTAAAAAATATCCCTTTGTTACAGCTGGTTAAACCGAGAGAATATCGTAACACTAGAAGAAGGCTAAATACCTCAGTCAGGTTAATTAGCTGCGTCCGATAGCATATGTATATGTATATGTTTTCTAAAAGTCTTCTAAAAGTTTATCTAATGTATTTCATAGTCTTTAATTTGTATATCAATATTCAATTCTCAAAATCATATGAGCGTAGTACGTTTTTCGTTGTTCGAAAATGGGAGAATTTCGCCAAAAAGCAGGCTTCCACTCGAAAACAACTGTATTTTCTCACGGGTGTCTTCGTCAGCATGTTCTGCCAACAAGTATAAGGTCCAATCACCATACTTACACCACACTCACACAGCCTTTTTGAGACAAATTAGTGGAAGTCTCATTTTAACAATCTTCGTTATACTGTGCTAAATTATGTGGTCCATCCTCAATGCGTTAAACTATACATGTATACATGCATAAACACTAAAGCATGGCTTAAATAATAATGAATAAGAGGTTAAACTACTTATAAGTTACAAGTAGGAACACGTGTATACTGAAAATAACCGCGATCATGTAAGGAGTTCCCATTCAGTTCGTGTTGGAGATTTAGTATGAGATGTTATTCTTCGAGGTATTGAGAAACAAAGAATCCCAAAACATGCTCCATTCGCAGAAAAAATACATTTTGTCAGGTAGATACACATCAACATGTAAAGACAATGAATATTCCATCATTAAGCACGGAAACTGTATTTAGAGCGTGATAATTGAGACTTGGTATATCTTCAGTTATATCTGAGAATATCTTGCAGAAAAGTATACTAAAACTGAGATCAAGATTTCAAACATAACTCAAATGCCTTCCGTCAGTGAATGCATATACAGTCACATTCAGAAAGCTATGATAAGCAGAAAAGAACAATTATCATGAAGACCGTAAATACGAAAAAAATTAGTTTTTTTCAAAATGTTCATACCTGAAGTGCTTCAACTTCTTTTTGTTTGACTGAAGCTTTAATCCCAGGTGGTCGATCATTCAATGGTGGATCATATCTTCCATCGATCCGACTAAATTTTCCAAGTAGTCTTCTATATAAAGGATGTCGATTGGAATTCACATCATCTAAAGGTATAAGTCTACGAACAGTAGCTCGATCCTCAGAACGATAAAGAGCAACTATAAGGTTTTCAGCAGCTTCGCGAACCTTGGAAAAAGATTAGAAGTTAAAAGTAGGATTTTTTAGATAACAGAAACACCATTTTAAAATATTTCTTTCTGTTAAGATTTACTGATAAGGACAAAGTGAATCGTTCTTATGTTTACTACTATTCATTAGTAAACGCAAAGCAACAAGGTTTGTGCAAAATTAAGCTCCATCGTTTTTAACAGCATAAAAATATGCAGATATGGGAAAAAAATAAGAAAAGTATAAACACTAAGTTTACAGAAATACAATGTTTCTGAATGTATACAGTCGTTTCTAAAATGAAATACAGTAAAATCTAACCCGCAATACAATAAATGTTTAGCAGAAACTCACTTCGTTTGATCGATGGTCTAAGCATTTTGCAGTGAATACAGTTAGTGCCTCTAAAGTAAAATTTCCTTGACTGACATGTCCATGTTCATTACAAAAAACGGGATCGACACCACGACTGGCATATAATTCTGTTACTAGTTCAATTCGACTTAAAGCTAAACGATCTAATGTTACAGGAGAAAAGGGTCGAACTAATTCACTCCAAAACGTTGTATTTTGCTTCATCTACAATGATAGAAATAAAATACTTGGTTGAAATTATTGTCTCCGCAAGATAACAACTCCACAATTTTGTTAATAAATAAATAATCAATTATTATCCATAAATAATCAAATATTTAACATTTTTCTTTATTAAAAAAGGTTTGGAAAGATTTTCTAACTTGAAATTAGTCTACATTACCAATTGATATCTGCTGAGTCAAATCAAGTATTTCACAGTTATCTCATTTTCTTATTAGCGACTGACTTTGAAATGAATCCCTGTATTTCTAGTGATATGGTTTGATAGATGAACGTTAATCATGTTAAGATTCCGATCATTATTTTCAATGATGTCATCATATTATAATGTAAGTTGGTTGAATTTGAAAATGTGAATCGTTGCATTGCAATTCAATGGACTAAAATTATCATACTTACTATGAAATCTAAGAGGTTTAACGTTAGATCCTTAGAGGGATAATGGCGTGTACACTGTTTGCTGGTTTTTAAATGACTATTTTGTTGATATCACTCCTTAACGAAAGCTAAGCTCAAATATTTTGGTATATATTCTCTTAATAAGTAATAACATTTTAAATTTTTTATATATGACTAAGTCGGATAATTTCTATGATAATCACACATTATTGACTCGATAACTGCATTAAGTCCCATGATCAATTTTACTGCATATGAAAATAAAACTCTGTTATAAGATAATCTCTTTGAGAAGAAATTAGTAACAATAATAATATAAACTAAATAACCTGTGGCCATTGCGCCATATCTAAAATTTGTTGTTTAGCTATCTCTCTAACACGTAATGAAGTATCACCAGTTCGTTGAAAAATTACTGGAGTTAATTTATCCATGCAATAATATAAATCAGGTCGTGGAATACCATATCTATCGGCAAAATTAACAACTGTTGGTTTAACAAATTTTGTAGCTAAACGAAATATTGACAAAACCTGGAGAGAAAAAAAGGAAAGAATATGGGAAAAAATGTATCATACATAATTGACTATTAGGATACAAGTATAAATGAATGCATTAAAATGTTTAAAGGTGAATTAATATCTAGACAATCATATTTACAGACTTTTAACAGAAAACAGCTTTATTCTTACTTGATCATTTAATGCACGACGTAAAAGAAATGTAGTCGATCGAATTTCTGCTTTTGGATCAGGATGTGCTGTATCGGGAAGTGATACAGGAGGAGGAAGTTTCGGTGCAGTTACACGTTGTTCTAATTCAAGTAGAGCTTTTTCACGAAAAACCCACGATTTGCTATAAGCTTTTGTAACCTGTAAATAAACAATGTATATATATACAAAACAACTTGGTATTATGTAGTCATGTTAATTAAATTGAATTAATTCAATGTTACAGTTCATTAGGATTATTAGAAAACAAAAATACAAATTAAATATTATAAAAGAAATAATATGAGTTAAACACTAACCAACTCTCTAAGTTCATACACATGTATCTAGAAAAATCTCTTCGCGGAACTTCATGACAGAAACTTAATACATCACGACAATACAACAAAACACTATCACTTAAAATGTACTATTTGACAATAAATATTTTCGATTGAACAAATGAAATTAATCATTTTGAAGGAAATAGACATAAAAGAAGATAATTGACTCGTAAAAAATAACGAAAACCTTCATTTTATAGAGCACTACATATCAACACCTCTCAATACATTAATCAACTGATTCACTCAATTTTCGAAATGGCAAAAAAATAACACAAACTATTCTTACTGATTGAAAAGTACAATGATATTTTAAAGTCAATATTCAAGAGAAAGGATACACATAAGTATGAAATGTGGAAATCAATTAATCTTAGGGAAAACATAACTGCACTATATGATTTTCAAATTAAAAGGCGAGTAATAAACAGATTGTTTCGTCAGACTTTTGTTGGATGTAAATGAAATGAAAAAAACTGTTTATTTTTCTATGTGTCACTACCGAACACAAAAACTTCAGCATACAACAATAATAATATCACTCTCCATTAGTTAGAGGATTATATGTAGAATAGAGTTTGCAAAGTTTAAAGCAAAATCGATTCTGTAATTATCATCTAAAAATTCAGAATTTTAGGAGTAAGAAATTGTGTCAATGTAATATAGTGTATGCAGATAATATCTATTTCAGTGAACCAGACATAAGCAACATAGAATCTGGCACATATGTGCATCGGTTCACGTTGTTACACTATATCACCATAGCGAGATGCTGGAGAATAATAAGTAATGACAGTATTGGCGACAGTAGAAAAAAATTAGGCGGCGAGTCACGTAAACAATTACGAACTTACATTCAACTAACTGTGTAAAGGGAAATTAAATTGGTAAAAAAATAAATTATCTGGGTACGATTACTGTTTTCATAAACAAGACGATACACAATGCTTCTGTTGTGTATGGATGATGGTCCATAAAAGTTCACCTCACCCCAATCAAGTACTGGTTTTGACAGAAACTTAGAATATTTAACGCAGTAGTAAAACAAATTTTATTGTATGGACAGTAAATATAAGAACTATGAAATGTAGATCAGGTAGAAATTAAGACTAGTTTTAATTGTGAAAAAAAAACAATACATATGCATTCGTTTACTTCTTTAGTCAACTTCACGTATGCAATAGATAAATAGTTCAAGCTGTATTAAACAACCTCTCTTCCTAAGACACAATAAATAAAATACGAAAAGCAAATGATATTTAATGATTCTAAAATGAAAGACTATGTTTTATCACGTAAGTTATGTTTTACTTTTGCATTACGATTAATAAGTAGTATATATATCAGAGCAACCAAGTAATAATGTACTATTAACTTATTTCTATTTACTTTAGTGTAATAAACATAAATATAGAATTACTCTGATCAACCCTCTTATGTAAATGTTAGGAAAACAATCAACATGATCGTTACAATAACACACAGGACCTACCAAATGAGCATATAAATATTATTAATCTCTTGTTATTTTCTGATTATATTCAAATAGAAATTAAGAAACCAGCAAATAAAACAATTAAATAAATCATTTGAAACATGCAATTTAGACTGTCATCTTAATGTACTTTTTAAAAAATACATATAAAATCAGTTAAGTGTACAAAATATATATATTCGAGATTGTTTTAAAAAAATAATATTATTGTTAAATATAAATTAGAGATTATTCTTACAAGGTTAATGCCTACAACATCAATAGCTACACCAGCCTGACGTCGATTGGTTTCACTCATTGGCTCAGGAAGATCAAGTATACAATGCTGAAAATTTTCTCTACCATCTAACATACGATCATGAGCTGCTTGTTCTAAGTATTTCATTGTTTGTTCATCTTCATAAGTATCAATGTCTCTTTGAATAGCTTCAACTGCATCAAGTGGTGGTATATGTTCAGAATGGTTGTAATTCTCAAAAGATTGTTCGTGATGTACTGGGACTGGTAATTCCGATGTATGATGCTCTTCATCAGCTGGATCGACTATTGGACTATTATTTCTATGCTTATTTTTAAGAGCTGGTAAAGGACGTTCATCAGGATCATTTGAAGGATAGGCACGGCGAAATGGAAAGTAATCAGCACCTTGATTATTATCATTATTGCTACTGTTGTTATTAACACTATAAGGCCCATTATTACGCCAATTTTCGTTTAGATTATCAGTTATTAATAAACTTTGAAAATGTATTGGTGGTATTGGATTTACTGGTAAAAGAAACGAGAAATTTATAGCAATTGGTGAATATATTTATTCTAGGGGACTTTAAAAACTAATAACTATCAATTACCTCTTCCTATATCATAAATATCTACTAGAATTTGTTGATTTATAGACTTTCTAATGTTTGGTATGTCTTAGAAGCATAATAATAAATTAAGTTTCTGATGAATAATAAAATCTTATTTGTTCTTATCCTATTTGATAGACTTTATCGATAAAAAGCAGCAATGATAAAGGTAACACATAGCTATTCATCTTTAACTAAGAAAAAGTTTATTAGCACGAAATATGATTGACATTTGAATTAGTAAAAACAATGTATTTGTAAACTTGCACTAATAGCTTATTAATTGGTCAATGAAAATAATAAGTCTGTTATATGACGTTTGACAGCAACTAGGAGTATGAATAGCACATGTTTCATTCATTGTATGCGCGATTCATCCTATTCGGGATTCGCCAGCTGAATGTACCAGCGAACGGTACTGGGTATGAGTCCCATAGTGGGATGCATGTGCATCCGGTTGATGAATCCCAAATAGTACAAAACGCGCATTCTGAATTCCACTGCTAGCTGCCATTCATCTCTGTGTATAATAATAATAATAATAATAATAATAATAATAATAGAAATATTAACGCTGCCATGCTGTTTACTTTGCTGCTTCGTTACTATGTATGACAAGTTGTTGTCATTATATCATAACGTTTCAAACAGTTTCTTCATTTAGGAACAGTAAAATTAACTTCAGATAAATAAACAAATTCATATGTTATGTAGAAGAAATATGTATTTTTTGGCACTATCATATATTGTTTTATTACATTTGAATTTATACTTCCAGTACTGTATATGAGTATGGAATAATGAAGTCTTATCATTTTTAGCGATCACAACATCAAATATATGATGTGAATAAGTCAGATAGCAGACAGGTTCCTAAAGATAACTTTGGTAGACATTGACTAATAAAAGAAATCAGATAAATTCCACTATGGTAATGACCAAATAAAAATGCTGAAAATTCACGAGAAATCCATATATTTGTAGGTTAATTGATCAATTTAATCTCTTCTTTTTTGGCACCCATATTCCAACAGTTAACTCATGTTCTATTTTAGTTACGAAATTTTCATGAAGATTGCTTTAGTCTATTGGTTTTATTCGTCGCAGATTGATCACATTGGTGGTATCATTTAAGAACAATAGACAGCTGTTTAGAAGTGCATTTTACCCTACTGGGGACTCGTCAGCTAAACGTACCTATATCCTTGTGTTGATTTTTACATTGACACTCGAATATAGTACCTTTCGATTTAAACCTCTAACCCATCATCCACTAACCTACTGAGTCTAGATAGCCGCTAGCTAGTGCAACAGAGATGAATGTTATTACTGACTCTTAAGTATTTCAACCTTCCTACTAAACAAGAGAGACAAAGTAGGCACGCCATTCACCAAGATTCAAGAAGAGAAACAGATAGGTAGAGCACTGACAAACTCATGAATAGACCAGCTACATTGAATCCAACAAACATCGAAGGAGCACCTACAGATCTTACTATAGATGTTATAGTGAACAAAACACTGGTTGGGGACAATCGAATGTATTTAAGCAAAGATTACAGACTATCTCAGTAAATTCTGAAAACCATACAATGTACAGTCAATTTACAAATTAACAACCAATTGTTTCAATCTTCACTGTTTCTTCTCTTATTCCATTGCTCATGCATTTTCCAGACGATTGCGCTTCATTTCAGTTCTTTGCTCATCGGTCTTCTGCCAAAATACATCCTATGTCTGACCCACACCATATACTACTTATATAGATATAAGTAGACCACACCACACTCGTCCCCCCTTTAAAGCATTCGACCATGCGGTGGTTCTGCTCGCCACGCCACTATCCTCTTTCACTGCAGTCTGTGCCAAACTCTCCGTCAGAATGTCGAGTCTGCGGCGCGCTGACCTCCATAGCTCCGTCGACCTGCCGGGGCACCAACTTCCTCATCCACCCGGCACCTGGGACGTTCAACACCCGTACTCCACCGGCCTGCTGAGCCATCTACATCCGATGTCCGCACAGCAGCCGCACGTCCCACTGCTACTCTCCGTCGACAGCACCCACTACAGCCAACGCCGCCCCGCCAGAACACTCCACTCGACGCCACCCCTCCGCATCAGACTGCCCCAACAAGCACCTCAACTCCAGACCCGCAGCGGCGTCCGCAGAACAGCACCCTTCCTCCTCCCGGTTGGCAGCGACACCAATTGTAGTGAACAAAACACTGGTTGGGGACAATCGAATGTATTTAAGCAAAGATTACAGACTATCTCAGTAAATTCTGAAAACCATACAATGTACAGTCAATTTACAAATTAACAACCAATTGTTTCAATCTTCACTGTTTCTTCTCTTATTCCATTGCTCATGCATTTTCCAGACGATTGCGCTTCATTTCAGTTCTTTGCTCATCGGTCTTCTGCCAAAATACATCCTATGTCTGACCCACACCATATACTACTTATATAGATATAAGTAGACCACACCACAATGTCACTCCACCAACAATCGAAGAAATCAGAAAAGCTATCAGACAAATCAAGACTACGAAAGTGACAGGACCTGATAACATACCAGCTGGAGCACTGAAATCAAAAATAGAGGTAACTTAGTGAGTAAGTGTGAGAACTACAGATGCATCACACTACTATCGGTACCAGGAAACGTTTTCAACAGAGTGTTGCTGAACCAGATGAAAGATTCAGTAGACGCCCAACTTCGAGATCAACAGACCGGATTCCGTAAGGATCTGTCGAGCACAGACCAAATTGCGACACTAGGGATAATCGTTAAACAATCAGTTGAACGGAATTCATCACTGTGCATCAACGTCCTTGTCTGTGAAAAGACATCTGATAGTGTAAACAGGAGGAGCTTATGGAGCCTCCTTCAAAACCACAGTGTACCTGAGAAGATCTTCAACACTATCCGGAACTCGTGCAACTGACTACACTAAAATGTCGTGCATGGAGGACAGCTGTCGGATGTATTCCAGGTGAGGACCGGTGTCAGACAAAGTTGCTTATTGTCACCCTTTGTATTTCCTCTCATGGTTGACTGGATTACGAAGACTTCCACATCTGAGGGGAAACACACAATACAGTAAACCGCTTGGATGCAACTAGACGATTTGGACTTCGCATATGACCCAGCTCTTCTATCCCATGCACACCAAAAAATCTAGGTGAAAGCGGCTAGTGTAGCACCAGTCTCTGTATCAGTATGTCACAACATACACAAGGGACAAACCACGATCCTGAAATAAAACATAGCGAGCACCAACCCAATCACACTTGATGGAGAAGCTCTGGAAAAGGTGGAAACTCTCACCCACCTAGTGAGCATCATCGATGAACAAAGAGGATCTGATGCAGACATAAAAGCAAGTATTGGCAAAACAAGGGCCTCATTCCTATAGTTGAAGAACATATGGAACTCAAAACAACTGTTTACCAACATCGAAGTCAGAATCTTCAATACGAACGGTTAATTCTACTGTACGGAGCTGAAACTTGGAGAACTACCACAACCATCATCAAAAAGTGCATGTATTTATCAATAATTGTCTACGTAAGATACTGAATGTTCGTTGACCGTATACCGTCAGCAACAGCCTACTATGGGAGAGAACAAACCAGCTACCATCTAGACAGGAAATTAGAAAACGACGATAGAGGTGGACAGGGCACACGTTGAGGAAATCATTAAATTGCATCACGAGGCAAGCGCTAACTCGGAATCCTGAATGGAAATGGAAAAGAGGAAGACCAAGTAACACATTGCGTCGGTAATTGGAAGCAGACATGAAAAGGGTGGATAGCAACTGGAAAAGATTGCCCAGGACGGAGTTTGATGGAAAATGTTTGTGGACAGTCTATGCTTCTCTACGAGGCTTAACAAGCGTAAAAAACTAATATTCCTGTTCTTGAGGTTAAGAACTGAATTTCAACCAGTATGTTTCGGAGCATGTGCATTGTGATCGGATTTTCTCGATATCGCCATTAAGTCATACGTATTTACGCTGACAAGTTCCAATCAGGAGGAGATCCATGTCCTATAATCCACTGCCAGTTACTATTCCGAGTCCACATATGACATAAGTTACTGATCAAAACATCAGAACTGGAATACTTAGGTACTTGAAAATAAGTAACGATAAAATTATTGGTACCTTTAACTAACGACGTCTCAAAATTAATAAAACTAGTCAAGTGCCATATTGTAAATAATGTTTAATTATGAGAATTAAAAGCTGAATTTTGAGTCGAAATTGTGCAAGGTAACCCACATACACACAAACACAAGTACTTTTATAAATATCAACACTTACTCTTGTTCCGATCATTATTCTGAAATAAGAAAACAAACGCATACAAGAACTTACAACTACTGAGAAGAGACGAGAGAAGAAAAAATATATATAAAGCAAGGATAGTACTTATTATTATTTGCTACGGTTTATATTTTCTCGTTATTTATTTTGATCACTGGATTTGATCATTTTCTTGTTATGTATGGTGGGTCGCTCTAGCAGACCCTCCCCTGCCCAACATTGTTTTTGGGTAGAATTTGACGATAGTTTGATCAGCAAATAACAAAGCAATCCAGAATGCAAATTTTATACCATGTGAGACTCGTCAGCACGATGTACACTGTTGAAGAGTTTGAAAACGCGACAAAACATACATTGCACACCCCAATGCTAGTCACTATCGGAAATATGAATAAAACGCGAATATTTATTCTTTTGATGAATTAATGTGTATAACTTTTAGGGAGTATCTAGTAGATGATCTTCTGATAGTAATTTCACTTAATTCTAACTGCAGAACTTCTTTTGATTTATTATTACGAGGTAATCAACTGTAAGTCTGTTACTTAGTCTTATTCATTGGAATATCCTATTTGCTCACTTATTAATAGGTATTAATAGCTATTGCAAGCTTTATTCTTATATTTCGTTAGCACAATTGGATGGAATCATGGATAGAAATCCTGGTGTACTTGTGACCGCTTCATTATCTTATGTTCTGGCATTTTTATTTAAAATACATAGGAAGGGGGAAAATTTAACTAGAATATATCGAGTTAGTGAAAATATAGAAAGAGTCGGAAGATCTATTGTTAATGATGTAGGACACATTAATAATAATAATAATAATAATAATAATAATAATACGTACTTACTTACTTACGCCTGTTACTCCTCGTCGAGGAGCATAGGCCGCTCACAATACTACTACTACTACTACTAAAAATAATAATAATAATAATAATAATAATAATAATAATAATAATTGTTATTATAGGGTACACACCGAAGACAATAAATGGTCACGCAATATTTTAGACTGACTGAACTTAGACTGAATCCCCGTTCAGTGATCTAGAGGTTATGCGTTCGCACGTGAGACAGAAGGCCCTGGGCTCGATTCCCAGTCAGGAAGCAGTGGATGCAAACCTCTGAGAAATGCTGTACTAGAACGAAACGACCGTCCAGCCCTTCCGGGTTTTCAAAGGTTTTCTAACTGAGATCGGTTAAGGATCTCAGTAACGTTCAACAAGCTCCACAAGCCCATACTAATAACAATAATAATAGTAGTAAATGAATAAATTTACACAACTAGAATTATGTAATCTTTGGTTCAGTTTTCTTACCGTATCAGGGAAATGGTTATTGGGTCGGCCATAAAGTTGTTCACTTTGTTCTGTTGAGGTACCACTAGACAACAATTTCATTAAATCAATATCTCGATACAAGTTAGTACGCATCTCAGTTATTTGATTCTTTTTTAACTTAGCCTGTTCATAGTTTTCTTCTTCAACAGCCTGTTGTTTTTCAAGCGCTAATCTACCGAGACGTTCACCGACCTGGAAGATAATGAAATAAAAGTGAATTATGCAACCAATTCATTTACTAAGCAAACAATTTATGTCTGAACCTCTTCTTATCTTCTATAAAATTATACGCTCAGTTTAAAATATCAGTTATTAAGTATCTGGTAATTAACAAGCAAAAGGCGAAAGATTTATCCGCAAATGAGGAGACACCCCCAAATGCCCTGGTACGGCCGAGAGTGGGGAGAGTCTGCTCTTCCTCTCCAAATGCTCTCATATGGCCACGCGAATATATAGCCTCTGCTAGGGAAGTCCTACTCACTGCCTTCTCGTGGCGGGAGTGTTGTTCACAAAAGTGAGAGGACGAAAAGCGAATGTCCGGCGCTTTAACCGGGTCAGTGGATGTGGAGGATCCATCTAGGGGAGTTGGAAAACCCTGATTCCAAACCAATGGTGCACATGGGCTCCAGTATCCTGAAGGAACGAATGGCGTATGAACCAACTGTTGGTCACCGGCTACCATAGGACTGCATCTCCTCACGATGCTCCACTGCCTTGTGGATCAGATTTTTCGGTCAGAGGCTCCGGGTGTGGCCTACTAAGAAAACCACCTGCTTCAATCTGGGCACCTGAGCAGTATCACAGCCCTCACACAAATCGAATGAGATCTGTGAGGCGCATATTTATCTGGTGCTTCCTTGTACCAATATTTATGTGTTTAAGTAAAGTAAAGTAAAAAATTAACAAGCCAAAGGCCTTTAATTTAAATACACTAATTTAAAAATTTGTTCAACAATAGCTATCTTAATACATAAACTCAAGTTTAAAATCACATGTACCTGGTTTAGTTGAGTTATAGCATCTCGTATACCTTGAGCTTGGTCAAAGCGTTCAGCTAAAAATAATTTGAAAAAACAGAGGAAACTTAAACAATTTGTGGCAAACTAAACCGATTTTTTAAATGTTAACATTGATTCAATGTAGTGGATTACGTCGATTAACAGATTGAATATTAAACAGATGATATACGAAGAATAACCCAAACAGATAGATACAACATAACAATAATCAATTGCATGATTTATTTTCCAATTTTTCATATAATATATGCGTCACTATGGTGTTGTTGCCGAATTCAAAAAATATTGTTAAATTGTAACAAGGCAAAGCGAAACTACAAAACCTCCAAAGGGTTTCAAATAAAGTTTGTTGTTTTGAAATTATATACATCAATTTATTATTTCAACCCTAACTCACAATAACTTAAATAAAAGTTGAGTAAAATATATAACTAGCCTTTTTTTCCTTCATCTGAACAAACACATGATACTTATAAAACAAAAAACTTCAAAGAGCAGATTACTAATCGAGTCTCATTGTAATAAGATTGGTTTTCTTTCCTCTACTACTAGATCTATGTCGCAGAATATAAAACATGTTGAATAGATTTAATCTTCCAGATGATTTATCAAATTTCTATCCTATTTGCCTGGCAGTTCTCAGTATAGATCACTATGATTCACAGCAGTACAGAATTTGATACCTAAACTCACTTTTCAAGCAACCCTGACAAACAAATTTTGATCTACTACACAGGTAATATGGCATAATTTATCCAGTCGAATAACAGCTACTTTGAATGATAAAATGTAAATCTGACAGTCAAATAATAACTTTATTCAAACCAAGAGTTAGTCAATGTTAGACCACCATTGAAAACCTGTAAGCACTGAGAGTTCTTTTCGTCCTAGTTTGGAACTCCTAGGCAGTGAGTATCCATAATGCCGCACGTGAAACTCGAACCCAGGACTTTCAGTCTCACTTTCAGGTTTTTAATGATAGTGATCGGTTCATGATTTCAGTGAGATTAAAAAATATCCACAACCCCATGCTGCACATTATAATTGTTTGAAAATTCCCAAGATATATTAAAAACACAGTTACACGAACGAAAAATATTCTTTTCAATAACTTTTCATTAGGTTCTATAATTACAAATTCAGATTAATCTTCCAAAAGGATAGCCAAGCTCAAGCCAAATACATTCTAAAAAATTACAGCACATAAAGTAAAGATTCCCGGTTAAAATCTATATATCAGTTCTCAATTTATCTTGATCATTAGTCTCGTAATTTTAATCGGCTTAACATCACACCCCGATTTTTTCAACTTTAACAGTTTTATTTTATTTTAACCACCAATTATAAATTAATGTACTCTAATTTTTAGAGAATGTATTTTCTTTAAATTTGGTTATTGGTTTGTAATATTAATTTTCATGCATAACTGTAGAACCTGATAAGAAGCTATTGAAAAGAATAATCTTCGTTTATATACCTGAACTATCGTAAAAACAAATCACTCAAGATAGACTGCTTTCTAATAAGAATTTTAAAACACCCAACTATCTTCTTTAAGGTCACTAAATACTTTTCAGCTGAACGAAAACAAACATGAATATATCTGTACCAAAAAATAGCTTAGTGTTATTTAATTTATGTAAATTAGAAATATTTTAAAAGCTACAGAAATGAGCTCAGTCAAATAATGTGGTTAGGAATTAATAATAATTAATGATCATTAGTTTTCTACCATAAAATTTTACGACTTATATTCCTATCTTAATTTGTAATTTTGATATGTCTTCTAACCAGTCTTTACGCGACACATTATTCTTAAATAATAAAGATCTGAAGAAAAATGCGGCACATACCCTTAACAGCTAGATGTTTTTGTTTTTCTAGCCTTCTTATTATGTTAGCAACTTCAGGATCTTGGTACATATCAAACGCTAAGTCTTCAGTGGGAGGTATATAATCTGGTCTAAACAAATAAAAATACATGAGTAAAATAAGGGAGACTTTGTTGTTAATTCCAAAATCGAAAAAATCACCATAGTACTTACAAGTCAATTTAAAAGCAGAGGACAACTTCTGAAAAAATATATAGGATTAAAGATTAAACCCAGATAAGTTGTTTGAAAACAAATGATAATTGATTAATAGAGCGTGTTATTTCACAAATAAGCATTTGTAGGTGTAAACACATTACGAAGATAATGATGACTTAAGTGGTTAATACAACTGTAATGGGGTGAGATTTTGAGTTGATGAATAGTCAGGTTTTGGATTATTAAAGCCAGTAACCAGAATCTTCGTCGATAAATGAACGTAATGGTGCGAATTGGCCGAGAGATATTTACTCGTGAAACCCGATTACTGGCCAAGAACCAAGTAGAATAAATATCAGAAAACAAAGCAGTTTCCAAGTAGAATGAGTTTTACCTTATAAAACGACAGGGTCATATACAAATTGTCAATGGAAAAATACATAGAATTAGATTTTGAATATAAATGGAGAAAACTAGTTTTATATCACTCACTCCAATGAATTAAGACCTGACTGTTAGGCCTCAGTCCTTGCCTATTATAAGTAAAAGATCATGTTAGAAACTTTTAAACGTTTGGATCATAAACAGCTTAAACTAAACGTTGACGGTTTGAAGGAAATTCAGTTTCATGGTTTTAAAATGTACAAGTAACACATCTGATAGGAGAAACTTTATTTATGTCTTACAGAGAATACAGGTACACCTATATTTGGAAGTGCATCTACTTAGACAATACAGAGTAAAACAAATTCAGATTATTGAATGACGTCGCAAGAAGATATGGCAGGGACTATAATATTCATATTGAATACACAAACTTTATTACGTGGAGTGGTTTCAAGATGAACGTTCTGTTCAAATATCATACAGTATGCACATTACTTTAACAGAATTGAATATAAGGTTGCAGTATAGAACCCTATGAAGGAACGATCATATGAAAATTACTCCGAGATGTTAACTGGTAAATTTAAAAATGTAAACAGAGGGATGAAACTGGTTTATGAAACTTTAAAACATAAAAATTAAGTAAGTTATTATCCATCTTTTAATCGACTTTCACCATGGATAAAAAGCTATGAGATTGCCACAAGTAAGATCTTAAGTCACAGAGCATTTCGATTAACTTTTTTGCATGAACTGTTTAGTGGCTGATATAGTTTTACGTCATCAATAGACGGATAAGTAACAGTCATAAACTATACCACGACACCATACAATAAACTAACCGCCACCGACTCAGTCAGTCAGCAACAACGTAGGACCAGGCACATTTATGCATCGGTCCAAGTTGCCATACCTCATTAGCACAACAAGATGAACACCTGTTAGTGGGACATAGATTGGATTAAAGCATGTTTCATGCATGATGGTGTTGCTGCGCGATGATTGGCTAATTCTAAACCGATCAGCCCGGGCATATTATTGCGGGAAAATCTATAAGCTTTTTATGTATATACTATAAATATATGAACGTTATTCAAATCAGTGATTGCTGTTTACATACCATTATTATTTTGAATACAATTTCATTCCTGTTCAACGTGTTCTGATTTTGGGGTCTTGTTAAGTGTCATTGAATAAAAATACTAAGCAATAGGAATAGCTGGGTCGTTTAGTAGCAAAAATACAATTATAACAACACCGGATTCATAGTTAATTTAATGGTGGTAATATATAAAAGGAAGATTGTATATAAGGATATAATACAGGATGAAAGAAAGATATGAAGCTATTTCAATCTCAAGGTTTAAAGGAAGACAAAGAGTGTATACACCTGCGCCATTGTGATCGATTTTGAGCCATGTCACACAGTCTCCAGCCATTGGTTACGATAGTCACGCGGACCCCAACCAAGTAGTCTGCATCTACCAACATGGCTCAGACTATAAGTTTGTGACTTCAAGCACTAATGCCACGTTTTGGTCTGGCTTTTCCTAACTTTCTTCCAACCATCTCCAACACTAGTCAGCATTGTGTGTCGTGGTAATCGGTGTTCAGCCATATGTAACACGTGGCCCAACCATCTCAGTCGATGAAGATTCATCACCTCATCAACTGATTTACTATCATTCCCTAGTACCCTGCGTCTAACCTCACTATTACTTACCCGGTGATCCCAGTAGATGCGAGCAATATTTCTAAGACATCTGTGATCAAATGCTAGTAACTTGCGAGTATTCTTTACTGTTAATGGCCACGTTTCGCAACCTAACTTCAACAAAAATTTATAAATATAGACGCTATTAACGTAGTGTGTTAACAACAAATTCCGGCTAACCAAACTTGTGCCCTTAAATTATTAAGAAATGGCAATATCAGCCACAAAACGCCCTTGGTTTAAACACTGTATATGATTTGTAGCATGACATAAAAGTTTAAGCATTTCAAACATGTTTGACGAACTCATTTGTTGCAACTGACTCACGCTAATCGATTCAGTAGGGCTAATAGATGATTCAACCATCGCTATCGAATTAAGTAGTTCAGTAATCAATTTTCTCAAACACAAGTAAACAAAGGTAATGAAACTACATATCAACTTCAAATCATCCTAAAACGCACATACTTCTATGCTTTTAGTTATCTAGTCTTTTCAGTTCGTTTACCTCTAACAAATAACATGCACCAAGGCAAAAAACAGTGCAACTTGCTGAATAAGTTGGGGTTCGATATGTTTGTATAAATGCAGCACAAGACCATGAAAGCAAAGGATAATTAAATCTCCAATACACTCACAAACAAAAACAACGTATGAATAAGTAGAATCAGTCAAGGTACTTACTCCACAACAATAATTTATTTCTTGGGAAGAATATGTCCGATAATAAACCGCTTAATTTAGTGGATTTGAATGTCTTTATGTCCAAGAGGAAAAGATATATTTGGAAGTATTAATTAGGAATCAAATGTTTTATGTATAGTGATACATTAAGTTTGCTAGAAAATGAACTAATGTGGACAGCTTACGCATAACTAAGCAGAAAGTATGGCATCACCTTACGAGTAATATACTTGTTGTATGCTAAGATGCTGACGTTTACTACTTACATAAAACAGGATAGCATACCTGAAAAGACCTACTGGGGAATCATCAGAATCCAACTGTCCATTCCTATCGATGAAATCGCCGATCAGGTTTATAGCGACAATCCCAACCTACACAAATAACACACTCAGACATTTAAAAATACCTGGCTGTATAAGTTTAAGTTATTCGGATGGTTTTTATGGAGAAACAGTTGAATATATGAGCCAGAAGCGTCAATATGAACTGACTTTAATTCTCTTGCCCTGTACTCTGTTGCTTGATTGTCTGAAAGCGCTACATATCTAAAAAACAGCAACTATAAGAACTATGTGTATATTGATTTACCCAAGTCTAGTATACCTAGCGTTTTTAAAATGTTCCATTTCATCATCCGGCGTATCTCCAACGAAAAACTCAATCTTTGATGCTGAAAAAACAAGATAAATTAAGTTTTACAAACGAACCAATCAGGTATTGGTGGCAAAGTAGCTGTATTTTGCGAAAACTAGCTTTGGCTTCCAAAGACAAAATAAGCTGTTGAGGATAAGGACAAAAGCGAGCAGAAACCCATCCTTTAGTACCTGGATGGTGGTGATTCAGTTCTGTGGCAGGGAAGTGTTCGTCTTGACTTGAAACATACACGACACGAAAAGGTAGCTTGTGTGGCATAATCCAACCACCCTTAACGCCAATGGACAAACAACGCGCTAATAAAGGAGACTTCTATTGGTGTAACAGTTTACATAACCTGAGTAACTAAAACCCTTGACTTGAAAAAACAAAATGTTTGAAAGCACATTTTTAAATTCATTTAGAATCGAAAATCAAAAGAGAAAAATCGACATTCTCTTATTGCTATAGAATTTTGCCAAGATTCCTCTTCTACATCCGAGATATTCCAAAACCAAACGCTTTAAATTTTTTACTCAGTTAATTTAGAAGTCCTAATGTATGAATGCCCTGGCCCCATAACATAGTCGTTCAGTTTTGAAAATACAGTAGTGGTGGAACAATGATGTCACTGTGGGTGAAAAGCTTTGTACAAAACCTAAACGGTGATTTGTTTGATCAGTGTGTAATTCTCGAAGCTAGTTTACATTCAGTGTACTATGGATAATAGAGTAAAGAGATTAAACGTCACTGAAAGTCCTAGATGAACCCCTTTAATTTGACTTCACATAATATCTCTTCACCCAGACAACTTTGCTGTATGTTTTTCAGTGAAGCAAATGAATACCAACTTAGCTAGTACATCATAATAGTAACCTTACTAATCCGGACTGATCAGCCTGCAAGTTTATTTCACCTGCTACAGAAGAGAATATCAGTGAATTATTGTCATACTCCTCATACTATATAATGATTATGAGTTTTTGTTTATCTAACAACAATGTCATCATGGAATGCATCAAACTGTTATTCATAAGATCTTCACACTTCCATGGTTTGAACGAAGTAAGATCAACATCAGCTGTAGAATACGATGAGTTAACTGTACTTTGTTGCCTTTCCTTCACCCTAATACAACTTAACATGTTTACTTATTTACAGCTGACAACACAGCATTAAAATTAATTGTCAATCAAGAATGAATAGTTTGTGTGTAGTGTGATAGAAAGTAGGAGTAAGAGTTTCAAAATTGTCTTCATAAACAGCGAATTTCATAATTTACAAGATAAATTTACTAGTTAATATAACAGAATTTTAGGAATTTTAGGAAGAGAAGATGAACTTGTGATATTAGCACACTAAATTGTGATTACTTTTAGTCAGGAATCAAATGTTTCTAGATTGGTTAGAAACTAACTATCCGCTCTTTTTAACACAAAGGTGTGGTTTTTGTATGAACTGATGATTCCCTCGTACTTCAAGGCCGCTGATTACGAATTCCAAAAACAAAACTTTCATTTGTGTCCATCTAGTTCTACTTACCTTGAATTTAACTGTTTTAGGAATTCTTAGCTGGTACATTGATTCGAATCCTAATTATCATACTGGAAACTTGATGGAGCCTATGATGGAACACTTGGATATATATTCAAATTCTGAAGCTTTGACAGATTACATAGAAAGGTTTAAAATCTGGAGTATAACCAGGAAAGATTATAAGAATGATAAAAATGCAACTCGTTTCCCAACATTTGTAGGAAAAGATGCCTACAGCTTACTTAAAATTATGGCGTTTCCAGATAAGCCTATCTCATCTCCCTACACAACTGTCGAAGAACTACTATCAAGTCATGTAAAGTATGCTAATTTCGAATGACGTCGAAGAGAAAAATTTTATAAAATGATCCGCCAGGACAACTCAAAGGTTGGATAATTTATACTTAAATTGCAGAAACAAGCCACTAAGTGCAGGTTAGGTAGTCATCCCCATGTGTAGCTGAATGACCGAATAACTGTAGCAATTAACACACCAAATCTCCAAAGAGAGCTTGTACAAATACGGAAGTGTTTCTTTCAAGATGCTAGAACTCTGTGTATTAATTATTATGCAGCGCATAAAATCGAGTTTCAAGACATCAAGTATTCTACTATATTACACAGTTATCCTAGCCTGATTGGTAATCAGGGTCACACAGATAGGTTTTTAATTGGCTGTAGTTACAGTCCTTGTGGAAACATGGATAGCAGTTCATTTAGGAGCTGTGAAGCAGGTTATAGAGGTGAGCACAGTTTTGGTAAACGCCAATCTTGTGGTAAATGTCACTTACGTTATTCCTTTAATTTTCGTCATGCCAAAAGCTTTAAGCGTGGTAAAATGGGACACATCAAGTTAGTTTCTAAATCTACAACTCAGTTCGCCACTAAAAATGATGTACACTGTAGTCCAGGTTTTATTCAATTGGGTGTTTCTAATGATCATTTATTTTTGTCCACGATTTCGAAAGGTAATGTCCATATTCAGAGGTGATCATTTACATCTCTTGGTTCATTTTATGACTTTGTGATTGACATAGTGTAGAGTCCATTACTTCATTCAGGAACTTAAAATCTCTAGATTCCAACGTTGTAGTATGACTAACAAAAGTCTCAATATTAAGGATTACTAGATAGAAACTTCACATACGAGGACTCTGTGAATCGCTAATTAGAGATAACAAATTTTTCATACATTTTTGTGAGCTTTTCGTTGATGAAACAGGACCGTCAATATCGGGTTTAAAAATTTGAAAAGGCTTAAAGTGGAGTTGTCTTCATTGGTTTCTAAAGAATGTCCTGATGCTTTGCCTAAAGATTTGATAGCTGTATGTGCTAAATGCAAAAGAGGGATTAGTATTCGGTTAATATAACTAAAGACACAGGTCAATCCAGTCGTCCTTAAAAGACGAATAATTCCTTGTGGTATATAAGTAGTGAAAGATTTGTGTAAGGGAAGTATAACTGAACAAAGCCAGTCTTTAGCATGAGGTGCTCCTGTTTTTATGCCCTTGAAGTCTGATGGCAAGACCACTAGAGTATGTGATGTTAATAGTTCAACACTGAGCTCCCGTTTTTGAAGCAAATGTACATTACGGTGGAAGCTGAAGACATTCTAAAGCGGCTTCATGGTTCTTACGTGTTCTTGAAAGTTGACTTGAGAGATTACTTACCTACTTACTTACGCCTGTTACCCCTCGTCGAGGAGCATAAGCCGCTCACCAACATTCTCCATCCAACTCTGTCCTGAGCCTTCCTTTCCAGTTCTTTCCAGTTACTATTCAGCCTTTTCATATCGGCTTTTATTTTCCGGCATAGTGAGTTCTTTGGCCTTCCTCTTTTCCGCTTCCCTTCCGGATTCCAAGTTAGGGATTGAGTCGTGATGCACATTGGTGATTTTCTTAATGTATGTCCGATCCACTTCCAACGTCTTTTCCTAATTTCCTCTTCAGCTGGAAGTTGGTCTGTCCTCTCCCATAAAACGCTGTTGCTGATAGTATCCGGCCAATGGATGTTGAGTATTTTGCGTAGACAACTATTTATAAATACTTGTACCTTCCTGATGATGGCCGTAGTAGTTCTCCACGTTTCAGCTCCATACAGTAGGACTGTCTTGACGTTCGTATTAAAGATTATCACTTTGGTATTAGTTGACAGTTGTTTTGAGTTCCATATGTTCTTCAATTGTAGAAATGCTCCCCTTGCTTTGCCAATCCTCGCCTTTACATCTGCATCAGATCCTCCCTGTTTATCAACAATGCTTCCCAGGTACTTGAATGTTTCCACCTCTTCTAGGATTTCGCCACCAAGTGGGATTGGGTTGGTGTTCTCCGTGTTGCATTTGAGAATCTTGCTTTTTCCTTTGTGAATGTGGAGGCCTATCGACGTGGAGGCTGCTGCTACATTTGCGGTCTTCATCTGCATTTGGTCGTGTGTATGAGAGAGGAGGGCTAGGTCATCTGCGAAGTCCAAATCATCTAATTGATTCTGAGAAGTCCATTGTATTCCGTATTTCCAGTCAGATGTCGAATTCTTCATAATCCAGTCAATCACTAGAAGGAAGAGGAATGGGGAGAGTAGACAGCCTTGTCTGACTCCGGTCCTTACTGGAAATGCATCTGTCAGCTGTCCTCCATGCACCACTTTGCACTGTAGTCCATCGTATGAGTTTTGGATAATGTTGACAATCTTTTCAGGAACTCCATAGTGTCGAAGAAGTTTCCATAATGTTCTCCTGTCCACGCTGTCAAACGCCTTCTCATAGTCAACGAAGTTGATGTATAGTGACGAATTCCACTCAACTGATTGTTCCACGATGATCCGTAGTGTCGCAATCTGGTCTGTGCACGACCGATCCTTTCGGAATCCAGCCTGTTGATCCCTAAGTTCGACGTCTACTGCGTCTTTCATCCGATTCAGAAGCACTCTGTTGAAAACTTTTCCTGGTACTGATAACAAACTGATGCCTCTGTAGTTCTCACATTGGCTCAGATCTCCTTTCTTTGGTATCTTGATGAGATATCCTTCTTTCCAGTCCATTGGCACATGTTCCTCTTCCCAAATCTTCTTGAATAGAAAGTGAAGCATGTTTGCAGTTATTTTAATGTCTGTCTTCAGTGCTTCTGCTGGTATATTGTCAGGTCCTGCCGCCTTCCCACATTTGATTTGTCTGATGGCCATCTTCACTTCTTTTATCGTTGGTGGAGTGACATCTATTGGAAGGTCAGTGTGGGCTGATTCGATGTTCGGTGGATTCAATGGGCTGGTCTATTTAGCAGTTCCTCGAAGTATTCTGCCCATCTTTTCCTCTGTTCTTGAATCTCAATGATTGTCTTTCCTTCTTTGTCTTTGACTGGTCTCTCTGGTTTGCTATATATCCCTGCCAATTTCTTCGTTGTATCATATAGTTGTTTCATATTCCCTTCTCTTGCAGCTTTTTCCGCCGGCGTTGCTAGTTCTCCCATGTATTTCTGCTTGTCGGTTTTAATGCTTTTCTTCACTTCCCTGTTTGCTTCTGCGTAGTCTGCTTGTGCTTTGACTTTCTCTGCTCGTGTTCGGCTGTTGTTAATTGCTAGTTTCTTGTTCTTCCTTTCTCGAATTTTGTACAGGGTTCCCATAGAGATTCATTCCTTGTGATGATGCTTCTTTGGACCAAGAACCTCCTGACACGTTGAAGTTAGTGCTTTTTTTACCCCTTTCCAGTTGTCCTCCAAAGTAGTTTCTTGTTCTTTCAGTAGATCCTGTAGAGCTTGGAACCTGTTGTTGAGAGTTAGCTTGAATTCATTGAGCTTGTCAATATCTCGAAGGAAG